CTTTGCAAACAGTTCACATTTCACCTCGTTAATGGCAAATACTTGCCACTGTAAATGTGCATTGTTCCTGTTTGTTAAAACTTGCAAATGTGCAGCTGTTTTATTTTCTAACTTGTGGCTACTATATAAGTGTCAATGAGGTATGGAGAAACTAGAACTTCTCTCACTTACTCAGACTATTTTGATAAGAGATATCATCAACTTCATAGGTGGCCCATTTATTGACTAGATTGCTAAGCATTTGAATAGACTTTGGTAAATTGAGGCTCTGGGTTTTTGCTCTGCATTTTCCACCAATTCATTGATGTCACTTGGTGTAGTGAGAATTAATTTTTAGTTGTGCTTAAGCTTTAGTTTTTTTGAGCTCTGTCTACATGTTCTGCTTTGTGCTGTGGCTAGGACCTGATTTTTACAGAGTGTGAACATCAGAACATGCCAAAGGCTGCGCTCAGGACTGAAGGTCCATCAAAGCTGGTGTCCTCTTTCCAAGAGTAGATGCCTCCTGTTTCCATGAGTAGATGCCTAAGAAAGACCATAAATAAGATAAAGGAATCATTCCTTCCCTGATATTTAGTTCCAGGAAATTTGAGGCTAGTGACTTAGAGAGGCTTTGCACTTTTATTTAGTGGCTTTAAGTGAACTTCCTCTGTTTAATCTGTCCAGTCATTTGGATCTCAAGCAAACTTCTAATATCTCCCTATGCTGATGGAAATAAATTACAATTACCATCTTGCTAGAAAAGCCAGAGTAGCAAATGTCATCATACCTACTATCTTGTTATCAGCTCTTTCTATCTGAACAAAACTGGTGTAGAAGTGTGGGTTTGAATCAGAAAGTTTGCATTTAAATGAACATAAGTTGGCTTGGGTTTTAATACATCACTGAGATAAATGGTACAGAGGAGTTTATTTCTTCGGTGCTGCGATGTTGGCAGGACAGGGTGCCCTGTAATTGATTAACAGGGCACAGTACACTGACTTATATAGGGAAAGCCATTATATCTCAGTAACAAAAAGGTATATATGATTCTGGCTTCAGTAAGTAAAAAATTCAGTTCTTCAGAAAATAGCTAAATCTGCTGAAAGAACCAAAGGTTCCCAAGGACTCTTTTTTTTCCTTTTAAATCTGTAGCATAACAGCATTTCGTGATATGGAGAAAGTTTAAGTAGCTCAATATATTTAGGGAACTTCTACATGGGGTTAGATGCATTAGCAGCCCTTTAATTTTTTTTTTCCTGTTTGGCCTACAGCCATGAGTTATTGATGACATTTAATACTTTTTAAAATATGTCTATTCATTTTACATCCTTTCTTATGAATCTCTTCTTTTTTCTTTTTTTTTTTTTGTAAAATAAAAATGTGCTCTCACATTTAGGCTTAAACCTAATATGAAAGTTGGCATAAATGAGAGCAAGTGGGATACTAGTTGGCCTCCTGTGGCGGTCATAAAAAATGAGTGTGACCCTGAATAACAGTGAGGGAAAACTTAAAACTGCTTTCCTTTTTCCCTGATATTGGCCCTTCCAAGCAAGCTGGAAAAGTGAAGGTCCAATTACAGTTCTCATAAAACACCTGCACACACCAGATTACATATGTTTGTAAAAGGTTCTAACACCAGCAGTTAGAATGATACTCCCTACAAGCAGGCATTTTAGTTTTGACTGCGTTGAACTTGCCTGGCATATTCCTTTGCAACCGAGAGGATGGATGAGTGGAAGCGAGAGACAGGCCATACAGCGCAGGCCATGGTGCCTTAGGAACTAGCTCTGTTTCTAAGCAAGTTTTTACGTACTTTTCATTTGGATTCATCACAAGTAGCAATAAATACTATGTCAAAATAAGGGGAGAAGATAGAGTTCTGCTATAGCTACTGCAGTCTGTGAAAGAAGTTACAAATTTTTACTCTTTGGAGATGCCATTTTTTCAGTTGTGGTGGGTTGTTTCCAAACACATTGTCTAGAATCTGCCATTGTTTTTTTTCCCTTGCAGATCCCAGTATGAAATTAGACTTTAGAGGTAGTTGATCCTTTTTTGAGCTTTTCTCTTTTATTGGGACAGGTTTTTTGCTTTACAAGTTTTGTTAAAATATTGTGGCCAGTAGCATCCCATTATGCTCAATGATCTATCAAATTGCAACAGTAGTGAAATTCTGCCACCAGACCTGCCTCTTCCTGACATTTTCCTGCAAATATATAAGGATTCCTTTTTCCCCTCTTAATAATTAAAAAAACAAAAAGGGGGAGGGAATGGGGAAGGAGAGAAAGAAGTACTGTGGTCATCTAGAAAATGTGGGACTGTGTAGGAGAAAGCAATCATAGAAACTTAAGGATTTGATTTAGAAACTGGAAATCTGTCTTGAATACAATTTTATTCTAACATATTTTGAAATGCAGGGAAAGCAGGATTGGGTGCAATATAGCAAAAACAGCTTTTGAAAGTGTGTTCAGATCAGTTATTTCAGCATCGCCACCCATGTGTGAGATGGAAGAGGCCCGGCGTTGGGTAAAGCAGGCTTACCAACTCCGAAGGGGCAATGCATGCAGCTGATAACTCTTTCTTCACATTTATCCTCTATGTGCATGCTTATTTTATGGTTTATGTGTGTGCATATAGATGTATACACACAAATGTATGCATCCATTAAATATGTTAGTATGTTACAGAAATAGATGTATGTGACTGTGTGGGTTTTTTTTTTCTTTAATATGGCTATATTTTCCATGAAAAAAGATGTTTAATTTCCTTTTTTCTTAATAAGTGATTTTTAGCATTAGTTCACGTGGAAATGTTTGGAGGAAAAAACAAGAATGCAAACAAAAAAAAGATTTATTCAGCTTAAGCTTTCAGTATTACTGAGGACATGTTTTTTCTTGGCAGAAACTATTGTGTTAGACAAGCATAGGCAAATGCTATCAAGAAGCTTTTCTATGAGTACTTAGAGTGTTCTCCTGTTTTAAAAATATTTTTATCTATTTTTAATCCAGTCAGGAGAATTAAGGATGAATGCCTTCATTTTCAGTGTTAGCTGTCTGAGTGAGCCAGACAGGCAACGATCCCCAACTTAAAACAAAACCATGTGAACAACCCAAAGGCAACCTCCTGTTCCTATGGATGGAATACCACAAGCAGAGCGGAAATAAAAGCCTCAGCTTTGGTAGCTGGGCGTGCTGGGCAGTGCCTCAGGAAGCAGGGATGTCCCTATGGGAGGTCGGGAAGCAGGGATGTCCCTATGGGAGGTGTTGGAGGGAAAGGGGCCGCAGCCGGTGGTGTCGCTCCACGGCCCGGCCCTGCTGGGCCTCGCAGAAGGGCAGCCGCATGATGGCTGTTGAGGTTCCTCCTCTGTGGTGCGGGCACGAAGGCTTCATAACACCTTCCCGAGTCAAAATCCTGTCAAAATTCCTCCTCAGAGGACAAGATTCATGGCTCCCCCAAAAAGGATCCAGGCCTGGGCTCTGTTGGAGTTGGGTTACACCAGAGGTTCGTAGCCGGGTCAGCCCCTGTGGCGCAGCATGAGGCCTGCCCTTTCCAGGTACCTACACTGAAGGCATTTCCACTTAAAGAAGAGACTGCATCATGATTTTTACTTCATTATTATTTTTTATAACATGTATGTCAAGCTAACTGGTGTAGGTTGCCTCTTCCATTTGTGATGAGGCTGCACAGAGGGTGTAGGTGGTTGATTTAACCTATGTGTCTGGGTAGGCGCCACTGGGGTGACTGGGGAAGAAAGTGGAGCCAAGGGCAGTGCACTAACTAACAGCTCCGCGTGTCTGAAATGCCCACCTCTTTAATTAGAACTTGTGTGATTAGAGAAATCTCTTTCAAACTTTTCTTTATTAGCAAGGCAGAGATTCTGACACTCTTCCCCTATGAGCAGAAAACACGCAAGTTTGGGCTTGAGCAGGACACACACACACGTTTCTAAGTTTGTATCTTTACAAAGCAAGGAGGAAGTTGCTCCCTCTTCTTTGGGTGATGAGCAGGACAAAGGAAACCAAGCAGGTGGGAGACAGAGCAGAGCCTGGAGTGAGAGGGGAAAGACTGAGAGGAGTCTGGAGTGAGGGGCACAAGGGACGTGGAGTGACCTTAGGTGAGGACACATGGAGGGAGCAGCGAGTTGGGTGTAGGCGGCCGGGAAGGCTGTAGCTCCTGAGCACCTTGGCCAATGGGGAAAAGGAGAAGGCCACCTCGGTCTGGAAATCAGGATAAAAAGGGGGCTATGACCTCCAGCAACTGGAGAGACCCCACAGGGATGTGCCTGGTGGAGTCTCCCTTTATTTCAAAAAAGTTGTAGGTCTCCTCTTTTTCCTTTTTGGACATTAAGTTCTTGACAGCGAGATTTTCCACATGCCTATCCCCCCCGTATCCATCTTGGATGTTAATGCCAAGTTAATCTTCTTTATACCAGGTAAAATGGAAGTGAAGTGCTCAAAATGGATTATAGAGATTATACTAGAAAAAGATTAAAAGATTATTTCCTTAACTTATTTTTTCAGAAAATCTGTAATATGTGATAATTCATAGTCACCGATTCATGTATGCTAATTCCTGTTTTTTTCCCCAGAATATCACATTATCAGCAGTTCCATCACAGAAATGAAAGTTTATCTTGTGTGCCCTTTTTGAAGCTCTCACAGTAATAATAACTTTTTTGATGCTATCCTTAATAAGTAGTGGCCCATGGTTATGCATTGCTATTACCAAATCTTACTGAAGTCTTCAGAAAAAATCCTTAGTTTCCCCATTCTTTGTTTTTTTCCCTGTGTAACATGTAGTGGGCTGTATTGTTTTCCTACTGCTTATTTGTATCCAAATGCCTCTCTCATGTACGGAAACAAAAAGCCTGTGGAAATGCCCAAAGTAAAAAGAAAGGCTGCATTGCTCCTCAAAGCATCCGACAGAATGACAACAGAGCAAATCTGTTTTCTTGTGTTTCAGAAAAATGCGACGAGCCTCTGGTCTCAGCGCTGCCCCACTCTTCCTTCAGCAGTTCATCGTCCATGACGAGTAGCTATGTGCCGGGATATGCCAAGCTAAACAAAAGGGGAGGTAAGTGCTCGCTCTCTCTTCTGTCTTTGCTCTGGACATATGAACATATGCGGGGCGGTATTTTTAAGATAAAAGTGCTTTGGTGTAAAATTCCAGTGCTAATGTTTGTTTCTAAGGAAGTTTTAGCTGTCTGACAAACCATTTTTTAAAATACTATGCATTTCTTCCGAATATGACAGTAATTGTGCGCTGCTGCACTACTGAGAAGCATACTGCTAAACATGTAGTAGCACCGGTCAAATTTCTACTATTAATGGAGTCCTACCAGATGATTGCTTGATTGACTACTTGGGTTAAAATGGCATACCTGTGTTCCTAGGGCAAATAAGCACTCGCAGAGTCATGCCTGTTGGACCAAAACGAAGCAGTCTCCGTGTGCTTTGTTGATATAACTTGTTCCCCACCTTATTAATAACTGTTGTCATTCAGCATTTCTAGCGCCATAGGAAATGTACCCTTTGCGCTTATTTTTTTCTGTAAAGCAATGCCATGTTGTACAGAAATAACCAAGGTAACTTGACACGTGATTACTGGAAGTGTAAGTGCATGAGTATGATGCTCCATCTGGTCTAATTATATCCATAGAGCTATGCAAATTTATTCCAAGGCCTGGAATGCGAGTCTAAAAGTTCACCCGTAGGAATATTCATAGCTTGCTTTGCTATTTCTAGATGCCTGTGTATATACATTTTGGTATAGAACTGTAATTTCACAGGAATATGACACATTTACACATGAAGCTTTAGAGGAACAGAAAATTAGTATTCAGAATACTGTTTACTTTCCTCTATGTAATCTCAGTCTAAAAATCTTACTAAGATTTAGCTAAGATTCTTGGATAACTAGCTTGTGAATCATTGTTTCCCCAAAATGTGCATCATAAATATAACGAGCTGGCACTGTGCACCTAGAATGAAGGATTCTTTTGAGTTCAGGGAGAAAGCAAGACCAAGTCTAACAAGTCCTGAAGATCTATAATAGTGGCAAAACACCAGTATTGTAGATGGTTGGCTCAATTGCACAGCCACTCTAGTTTGCCAGCTCTTGCACAAATTATGTTGCTTCTACCTAGATGACATTTTCTGTCTCGGCAGAAAATGAAAACTATTGAAACAAAATAAGCCATCTCTTTTCTTGGGGGTGTTACATACAAGATTTGAAATACCTTCAGCTAGTGAAATGCTCTTAAAGTTAGAAGTGCAATTTGTTGCATCTAAATGGTAGCCTCAGTTGCCCAGGTTCTCCAGTTTTTTCATATTACAGCATGTGGAATTTGAGATGAGGAAAGTCGCCTTATAAGTGAGCAGCGACTTTCCTGTTAGCCTTATTGAAATTTTGACAACACAAAGATTGGTTATTTATCTAGAACCCATCATTACAAAAAATACTATTCTTGTGAAGTCTCAATACTATAACTGTGCTTATACACATACTCTCTTTAGTGTACCCCTTTCCCTGGGTGTTATGCTGCCCCACTTTGTGCAGCAACTCAGTCCAACGGTACCTGGCTACAGCTGGAATGGGTATGGTAGATGGCCAGTGCACCAGCTCCTCCGTGGCAGGAGGATGTAGACCATCTTGATGGTGAAGGAAGTCTTTCCCCATAATGGGGGAACCTGGTTGGAATTGTGTGGGGGTTTCAGTTTTGGGAGTCTGTATGGTGTCTTTATGATTCCTTTTTCCAGCGCCCACCTTGCTTTCTCCAGGAAGGTGGGTCATATCACAGAATCATAGAATGCCGAAGGTTGGAAGGGACCTCAGAGGTCATCCAGTCCAACCCCCCTGCTCACGCAGGGTCACCTAGAGCACGTGGCACAGGGCTGCATCCAAGCGGGTTTTA